ACCCTCTTACTTTTTCAAATTTCAATTTAAAAGAAGGCCCCAAAGGATTTTTTTTTTTTTTTTTTTTTTTTTTTCCTCATCAAACAAATTTTTAGTTCGTCCTTTTGATTTCAGACTTTGACAAAAAAAAAAAAAAAGGATCATCATTTTCCCAAAAAGAAAAAACCGAACCATTTTTTTAAACAAATACCACCACACCTTTGTTTAAGAGTGAAGCTCATGAAAGATTCATTAATTATCCCCATTATTTGTTTTAAAAAAATTCTTGTAAATTTTTTACACAAAATTTTCGCATACACAAAAAAAAAAAAAAAAAAAAAAAAATTCCTTTGGGACTTTCTTTTAAATTGAAATTTGAAAATGTAAGCGGTATATCTTGATCAGCATACATTTTGAAGGATGAACAAACCATTTCACCTCATTAAGAAAAAAAGACACATATTTACTATAACACAAGAAGTGAGGTGAACCTGGTTTCGCAAATGCATTGTTACGTGGATGGGAAAATAATAATAAAAGGGAGAATTAATTACATTACATACAAAAGAATATCCTCTAGGCGAACGTAGAAGCAAACGTTCCGCACACCCAAAAGTGCAGCCAAATTGAGTGGAAAACAATAATGTAAGGGAAGCAACTCACAAACGTTTCGTTCATAACCAGAAAATAATAAAGGAAAAATAGAGTAAACAAATAAAATAAAAGTTCTGTAAGTGAAAGAGTCCTTAGTTTCATATTGAATTATTTTTTTTCTTCTATTCCGGCAATACTTAAAATGCTTCAATTTCAAGAAGCAGCTTTGACGCTTAACCCTGACCGTCCTGTGTTAGGATTTCTCATGCTACCGTTGTTGCGTTGATTCTGATTACGCATAGCTTGATTATTGTTCTGTTGAGGAATCTGTTGAACTACTTGTTGTTGTTGAGATTGTGTTTGAGCCTCATCAAGCGCAGTGGGAGCAACATATAATTGTTTATCGATGACGGGTGGAATAGGTTGAATTTCGGTTCCTAGTTCTTGTTCGATTTTATACAGATTGAAGCGATCTTCGTAAGTAATGAGATTGATGGCAAGACCGAGGTGACCAAACCGTCCAGATCTGCCGATACGATGAAGGTATGTCTCCGCATTTTTAGGGAAATCGAAATTAATCACAACATTGACCGCCTGAATGTCAATACCACGAGTAAGCAGATCTGCACATAATAAATTAAGTAATGTCAATTTTCAATGATAATAGTATGACAACGTGCGTGACCAGTTTAAAGAAACGTCGCTTCCGCCTACCTGAACACACCAAGTTACGGCAAACACCGTTTCTGAAATCATGGAAAACGCGATTACGATGACTTTGTAACATTTTTGCGTGACTGTAAAAACAGGAATATCCGAGTTCGGTTATTTTCTTGGCGAGAAGTTCAACACGATTGGTGGAATTGCAGAAAATGATGGATTGATTGATTTGAAGCTGAGAGCGGAATGATAAAAACGATGGAAATGGAAATGTTCAAGGATCATTAAATAATAATAATAATAATAATAAAGGAATGGATTCTGATTCAGTGATAAACTTACCTTGGAAAATAGAGTATTCAGACAATGCACTTTCTGTCTTTCTTCAACAAATGCGTAATATTGTGTAACACCGCGAAGCGTAAGTTCGTCCATTAAGTTAATTTCGTAAGGTTTTACGAGATATTTATCCTAACAATCATTTCATCGTTATTTTAAGACCAATAACTCAATTTCAATTTGACAATTTTCAATAAGCAAACCTTAAAGCTTTTCACGATTAAGGGGAATGTAGCGCTATACAGCATTATTTGGCGGTCTTTGGGAAAATATGTCAATAGTTGTTCGACAATCGGTGAGAATTCCGGACTTAGTAATTTATCAGCTTCATCCATCACGAACGTTGGGCATTCATTAAAATCGGCAACTCCTTTCCCTGCCAAGTCCAGGATACGACCTGGCGTTCCGACAACAATGTGTACGGTTTCGGAGAGACGAAGAATATCATCCTTTAACGTTGTTCCGCCCGTTGTGACCATGACTTGAACCCCCATATGTCTACCGAGCATCTTACACACTTGTGATGTTTGTAAGGCTAACTCCCTCGTGGGAACGAGTAATAATGCTTGGATCTTCGGCTTTTTTACGTTTATTTTTTCTAGGGCGGGAATGACGAAGGCCGCCGTTTTTCCAGTACCATTTTTTGCTCTTGCAAGAATGTCTCGACCGGTTAAGGCGATAGGTATGGATTCCTCTTGAATAGGCGATGGACGCTCAAATCCAGCCTCAAATATGCCCATCAGTAGTTCACGCTTCAGGAAATAATCTTCAAATTCATTGCCCTTTGTGGCTGTTACGTCCTATTGTAATGAAAGAAACATAATGAGAAATGCATATTTCCGAAATAAACCATATGATAAAACTTACCTCTGTCTGCGGCCGATTATCTTTAGGAGGTAGCCGTAAGTTTTTTTTCCAACTATCGCTTTCATGACTAAAAAAGCAAACGTTAGGCAACCCGTTTAGTACTCAATTCTTTAGAAGAGATTTTAATGTCTTCGCGTGTCATGTCGACTTAAGCAACAGTGCCCGTGCTCTTCATCATTTTAACACTCGACACAGTGTTACAAAACGGGTAAATAAAACGTGCGCTATGTAAATTGCAAGGACCGCTTACCTGAGATGGTGGTGCGTCGGTTGATTCGCAAGATTGCCTGCCATTTTATGTATTTTGTTCTTTGATGTTGACTTTGGTTTCTATACTAGAGATGCAGAATAATTTTGTTTATTTAGCAAACTAAGAAAAAAAAATTTATTTTATTCACAGACAATCTTATAAAAAAAAAAAAAAAAAAAAATTAGCCAAAAACAATGGTCCAATAGATGATCTGGATCCTAACAATATTGGCAAATACGTAATAGTAGAAACAATCATGTGTATATATTTATGCACTTTTTCCATGAGACTCCTAAAAAAGCGTGTTGCAAACGGTGACAGAATGTAGCAAATAACTTTTTATGGATAATTTTTCCATGAAAATATACTGTATATCAAACGAAAAATTAATAATTTCCGTTATTCGTTTGCTCTGCGTAGCCATTGTCACCAGTTGGCGTCACGTTTTGGTCTAATTCTTCATACACTTGGCACTTTGCATTCACCATTTTATTTAATGCATCCTTTTAATTACTCTAACATATTTCAATTGTTATTAACTTTTTAAATTTAACAAATTTATTTATTTTAATTAAATAGAACTTAACATAATAAGTCATTTATTAGAAAATCAATATATTTGAAGTTTTATTAAAATTAAAAAATAAAATAAAATTAATTGATTTTAATAAATACAGTTGATTTCAAAAGTTTGAGTTTACTTATTATACTTTTATTATAAATTTTAACTTTATCAAATTTTAAATCTTTAATTATACAATCAAAAATTATATAATTTATATATATTATATTTTAATACTAATTTTATTTATTATATTTTTTTTTCAAAAATTTTCATATATAATTTTTTAAAGTTTTATTATTGCTAAAAAATTTTTCTTTTATAAAATTTTTACCTTTAAATATTTTGATTGGTTATAATCATAAATTATATAATAATTAATAAAAAATATTTAACAATAATAAAACCTCAAAATTATTTATAAAAAATTTTTTAAGAAATAGAATAAGTATTAAAATATAATATATATAAATTTTAATTATATAATTAAAATTAAAAATTATTAAAATATAATAAGTAAACTCAAATTTTTGAAAACAACTATATATTAATATCAAATTAAATAATTATAATATGATTAAAAAATACAATTATAAATAAATAATATATATATATATATTTAAATATAATATAAAAAATCAATTACACAAATTCAAATAATATGATTGACTCTTTTTGCTGATCCTCTGACCACACACAAAA